GGGTCAGAGAAAAAGAGGAAGACCCCCAACGAGATGGATTGGCCAAGTGGCAACATCGATGGACTCAAGCGTGCTAACAGTAGTGAGGTTGGCCCAGGATCGGGCAGTGTTTCATTCTGCTGTGCATAGGGTTGCTAGAGTCGGTAGCGACTCAATGGCACTTAACAACAACTACAATATATAATAATAGATTATATATCTAATCCAATCTAAATAGATTGTGCTATGTAGTCACTTTCAACATTATTTACATAATTACTTTCCTTTTCCTAAGCACAGTTGAACTAAATTTAATATTTGAGTTAGCATTTTGAAGGCATCTTTAGTGGGAGGTGGGCTTTTTAGTCATAAACTGAAGGAAGGTCAAATACCATTCTCTTCTATTTTAACTCCCAAGATTCAGAAAATGCTTTCCACGTGGTCATTCATATATTTTACCGTGTGATTTAAGTCAGGTAAAGGAAATGCCATATGAGTCCTGGTAGCATTGTGGATTACAGGCTGAGCTGCTAACCACAAGGTCAGCAGTTTGAGTCCTATAGGTGCTCCGCCGGGGAAAGATGAAGCTTTCTGCTCCTGTAACGATTTACAGCCTCAGAAACCCTTTACTAGGTTATAATAGGGTCGCTATGAGTTGGAATCTGCGCTATGGCATACCACCACCACCACCAAAGTAGCTTCACAGGAACCTGGTGATGCTATGGTAAAAGCAGTAGGCTAGAAACTGAAAGGTTGGCAGTTCAAATCCAGTAGTCACTCTTCGGGAGAAAGACATAGCAGTCTGCTTCTATAAAAATGTCAGCTTTGGAAACCTTAAGGAGCAGTTCTTCTCGGTAGTGTAGGGTCGCTATGAGTTGAAATTGACTTGACAGCAACAGGGAAGGTAGTTTCTTTTTTATGAGGCTTTTTGTTGTTGTTGTTGTTAAGTGCCATCGAGTCGGGTCCGATGGTAATTATTAAGGATGAGGGCTTCTCTTTTAATAAAACTCCATGGATATAATGTCTATGCTTAAACCTTCTTGAGTTTTTTTGCTTGTACTGACATCCTCACTTCCTTCAGGTAGTAGAGTGAGGCATCAGTATAGAGCTGTCTCAGCCAGAGCGATCAGCATTTTCAAGGAAAAGATGTAAGGTCAAAATCCTAAATACAGAAATAGTAGAACAAGAAAAAGAGAAATACTGAATGCAATTTATCAAAACCAAACACACTTCCACCAAGTCACTTGCAACTTATAGTGACCCTGTATCAGGTTTCTGAGACTTTAATCTTTACAGAAGCAGATAGATTCACCTTACTCCTATGGAGTGGCTGTGGGTTTGAACTGCTGATCTTGCAGTTAGCCACCAAACCCACAGCACCACCAGGGCCTCTCATTTTTAAGCAAAGACTGCTTTAGTCTGCCTTGACTTACTGTCCACTCATTTTCTGATGATGTGTTTTGGTTTTTATTTTTCCCTAAGAAAATGAAGGATTCAACTATTTTCTAATGTTTTCCTCATTCAAGCTTCCTTGTGTCTTTAACAGCAGACATTAATGTTTCAGGTTATACATAATCAAGATCTGTATCTGTGTCTATTTTGTAAAAGAAATGAAAGCATATGCTCACTTTTTTCCCCTAAAATTTTTTTAGAAATTTCACTCTCATCAAAGTTTGGGCGGAGTTTGCTTTGTCCCTCGGTTGTAGCTCTCCCCTAAACTTGGGAAAACTCTTTCAAACATGATGACTTTTTACCTTTTCTAATAGTTTATGTACCCATGTACAATGTTGTTGTTGTTATAGCAGCTAAGATTTGGTGGTTTTCTTTTTCTCAAACTAGGTAATTTTACCAGTGCCAGAGCCTTCAGAGGACAAGCTGGAAGATAAGCGTCCAAGTCATCCAGTAAAGCAAAGAAGAAGAATATAGATTGCCAACAGCAAATTAATATTTTCTGAAAGGAATATTTATTTTTTACTTTTAATCTGTCATTTTAATTATCAAAGAGATTTTACTGCTGGTATTTTTTTGTTTTCTTTGGAATTTCATTCAAGCTATGTATCTAATGTAGTATGATCTTTAAAATTTTACAAATTGCCATTTATTATTTAGGTATTTTGATGCATAACTTAAAATTGTATGACACTACCTCTCACATTACAATAGCTTCATACAAACTGATTGAATCAAATGTAGAATCTTTATATATAAATAGGATAGCTAGCCAGAATCTGTTTTTGATTCTCTTGATGTGAAAAACTCTGCAGGGTCTATAGTTAACTGGAGGCCTGTGATTCATATTCAGTAATCAGAAGTGAGGATATTTCTGAATGCCAGGACTTCAAAATCAAGACACTGCTGTAAAGTAAAATAATTAATAAACTGTTAGAACAAAGCTTAAATAGAATTTTATATGTTTTAGTTAAATACTAAGAAGAATTTACTTGATCTGTGGCATATACAGACACACACAAAAAATCAGTACTTGTGAGTATTAGACTCTTACCACTACTTTTGGACTCCTGGTGTGATACTGTGAGCCACAAGGTTGGTGGTTCAAACCTATTGCCTGCTCCTTGGAAACCCTGTAAAGGGACACTATGAGTTGGAACCAACTTGACAGCACTTAACAACCACTACTTTTGACACATTTGTGTTTTGTTTTCTTTTCTTTTTTTCAGTTTAGACTACATAATTGGAGATCCAGGTGTATCCAGGCAATTTCTACTTTCTTATGGATCAGAGTCAGCTGAGAAGGCCCTTAGGAAATGTCTTTTCTCCCTATCCTTAAGTGACTATTGCCAATTGGATTGAGTTTAAGTGTATCAGTTACTAAGGTTCAAATTCCGGTATCGTGTCCTACTGATCCATTAGAGGTGGATGGTACTGAAAAGTTTCAGGAAGGCGGTTGTCCTGTTTGCATGTGAGCTAACTGTATATATTGCTGAAATCTCAAGTGAAAGATACTAGAGTAAGTAAAAAAGGGTTGCTATAAGGTTTCTAAGGAGTTCTGGTAGCGTAGTGGTTATGAATTGGCTGTGAACCGCAAGGTCAGCAGTTCAAAACTACCAGCTGTTCTGCAGGAGAAACATGAGGCTTTCTGCTCCTGTAAAGATTTGCAGCCTTGGAAACTCTACAGGGTCGCTATGGGTTGGAACTGACCTCATGGCACATGACAACAACAACATAAAGTTTCTAGTTCATACAGGTAAGACTTATTCCAAACGTCTCTCTAATCAGTGGATGGCTGCAGACAAGTCATGTCAGTTAGTTTCATTAGGGTGCCCTCAAAAGTCCTTCAAAGGGGTATCCCAGGGAATCTGCTGGGCTAGGTAAATTCAAGGCAGGTCATCTAAGAAGCCTATGACAATGTTTTTTGATTTGTTTTTTTGGATTCTAAAGGGGTAAACAAGCCTGATTGTCTCAAAGGACACATGGTGGTCACAGGGGCTTATTATGAAGTTTTTTTAAAGAAAATTGAAAACTGTACTGGTGAGGAAAAGGCCAGGAAAGTTGCTCTGAGGAATCGTTTTCCATCATGACAATGTACCTGCTCATTCTTTGATGGTAGCAAAGGCTACAACTCCTACAGCCCTCATCTGGCCCCTTCTGATTTATTTTTGTTCCCCAAACAGCATTGAAAAGAAAATGAATCTCTTGAGGATACCTAAACTGCAATTTTGATGTGGTGTAAATTGAGCTCAGAATTCTTTGAAGAAGGTGCAGAGAGATGGAAACACTACCTCCGGAAGTGTACAGACCTAGATGGAGTATTGAGAACATTTTGATGTTTTTGTTTTACAGTAGTGTCTGATTTTGTAGCAATATATATATATTATTTTTACTTACCCTCATATGTTAGTTTTAATCACACAATTGGAAAGAAAAGTTTCTGTCTAGATAAGGATTTCTATGGCTTTAAGATGCTATGAATCGAGAACAAATAAGATGGCGGATTGGGCGGACGTGCAGTGAAGAGCTCTGTAGCAACAACACAGAATACCCAACCAAGCAGGCTCAGGGGATGGTGCCAGAACTCTGAACCACATATGAAGGAATATTTAGAAGGTTGGAAGGCTTACAATTACGGGAATTTATAGCAGAAGCAAGAAATCCATTGCTTTCTAATTCAAATCGCTCAGCTGCTCCCAGAGCAGCCAAGGATGCCTGACAGAACTGTGGAGATAAAGGTGTGGACATACTTTTTTTTTTGGTATCTGTTTATTTGCCCTTTGCTGTCTGCACACCTCCATTCTGGTTACGATAAGGGTGCCTGAGCGAGTGGACACTCCAGCCGTACCCTCGGTTCTACTATGCATGCTCACAGATCTCCTTGAAATTTAAAGAGGCAGTTTCCACTTAAAACCAAACGGCCACAGCCAGCCCTGAACTGTTTATAACTAGAAAAAAGGCCTGAACAGGGATTGTGGAGTGGGACAGGCAGACTAAAAAGGAAATAGGCCGAAAATTAAATCCTGAGTTACATCAAAACAACCAACAGTGGTATCTTAAAGTTTCTCAGGAAGAAGAGTAAAAAGGGAAGCCCATTTCCTGATCACGTCTACCTGGAAGCATTCAGAAAGCATAAAAAAATTTAAAAATACACATCCATCTAAGTATTAAGGCCCCAGATAATTCCTGAATATGCCCCAAAAACAGAAGCAGATGACCATATCTGCACATGTCCAGAAACGAGATAAAGTGACTGAGGCAAATGAGCTGGAAGCAGACCTACACTCCATACTGGAAGATGGGCAGGCTTTGGAAATGCCTGAGAAGGAATTCAGGAAAATTATAAAATGTATCCAAACACTATACAATGGAGTTGAGATAAATAAGACATCAGGAAAGCACTACAAAAACAATCAAGATAGATAGAGCATTGGAAACAATTCAAAACCTATAGTCAGAGGTCCAAACGATTAATAATAGAATATCAGAAATGGACAATACACTGAAAGGGCAAAGGAGTAGAATTGAAGGGATAGAAGCCAGAACTAGTGAGCTAGAAGATAAATCTCTCAACACTACTGAGAAGAGCAAACAAAACAGTATAAAAAAATCTGGAGAAGGCCTAAGATTCATGTTGGACAACATGAATAGGAATAACTTAAGAATTAATGGCATTCCAGAGCAGGAAGAATCACACAAGTCCACAGAGGAGATAGTTGAAGTTCTTCTGGAAGAAAAATTTCCTAACATCCTGAAAAGTGCAAAGATAAGCATTCAGGAAGCTCAACAAACCCCAGGAAGGATAGACCCTAAAAGACAATCACCAAGACATATAATAATCAAACTCTCCAAGGTCAAAGATAAGGACAGGATCCTGAAAGCAGCTAGGGAAAAAAGAAGTGCAACATACAAAGGCAAGCAAATCAGATAAAGTTTGGATCTCTCAACAGAAACCATGCAGGCAAGAAGGAAATGGGGAGGCATATATAAAACTGAAAGAAAAAAAAACTGCCACCCAAGAATCCTCTAACCAGCAAATCTGTCATTCAAATATGATGATGTAATCAAAACATGCCAGGATAAACAGAAGCTAAGGGATTTTATCAAAGCCAACCCTGCTATGAAAAACATCCTAAAGTTAAGTTCTGTGGACTGAGAACCAACAAGAACAGACAACAACTACAGAAAGACACATGTGACAGCATCACCCTGAACTCAATCAACAAATGGAAGAGTCAAGAACAGAATAAAATTATAAGAACAGAGGATCTGGGAGGTCATTCTATGATCAAAACAATTACAATGTGAAAGAAAGTAAACACAGGAATAGAGATCCAGGTGGTGGGAAGGTCAGGTAGATTACAGGATAAAATAGACTCTTAAATGAAGGGAAGAACTAATGGAATATAAGGTTACCATAATGGGGTTGGGGTGGGGGGTTTGGGTGTTGCGGAGGTCAATATAAGAAGTGGGGAGGAGGAGGAAGAACAAGATAGGGAAACACTGAGACAGGCTTGCATGGCCCAAGTGGGACAGAGGTAAATAGTGATGCATGCTCAACCTTGGAACAACAGGGCTCTGGGATACAGGGATCTAGGTATATCTTGAAAAGGGGAAATAATACTAAAATGCTTGACTGTCTTATGAATATTAGTTTCCCTTGCCTACTTTTGTAAAATAGACACAAGTGGGATAGAAAGGAATGTTGGGAAACACGATTACAGAAAACTTAATCCTGTCTTCAGCCTGTAATTGATTGGAATACCTAAAAGGGGTTCTAGAACTTGCTCAGTGAAATAGGCCTCGTGCAAAGCCTTTACAGAGTATAGGACCTTAGATGGAATCCTGAGTCCCATCCAGAGCCTTATGAGGTTAGGACATTCCCACTAGAAAGGACAAGCAGACCAGCCTGGAACAGCTACAGTGATATAAGATATATCTTCAAAGAAAGATCATCAGGAAAAAACCAAAACATAAATGTTAGCATGACTGGCTACTACAAAAATATGCAAGCTGTTTACCAGGAAGACATCAAGGCTAGCAATCAAGTTCCTTCAGGACAAACTCCCCTCTAAGACTAAAAGAAAGGGAATACACAAACAAGCATGTAAGCTTGCTGGCAACCACATTGGGCTACTGGTGAGTGGAAGAGGGGGAAAGGCAGCTATGAAGAAATGGGCTGAGTTAAACTACAGTCCACTGAATTCCGTTGACCTGGAGATAAGAGAGAGGAGGAAGGGCTGGTTGGTCCAAAGTGTGGTGAGACCTAGGGACACTTGAGCATTGATACATGATGTGAAGACTTTCCTTCTCTTGGTATTTAGAGTAACAACCTGAGTATAGGTTAGGTTCATCAAATTGTAGCAATTTACCCTTGTTTCCTTCATCAAAAAAAAAATTTTTGTGTTTTTGTTTTTATATCTTCCTCTAGTCAAGTTCTGATTATGGAGCCATCAAGGCTAGATCAAAAGGCACGTTTGGGCGTTCTTGTTCATCTCCCGTCACTTCCTATCAGTTGGGTACTTCACTCTCAGCTCTAGCCCTCTGTGGCTATGTGTGCTCACCTACAAAGGCAGTGTTACTTTCCTGACCCTTAGGTAGTGCTGCAAGATAAGCACTAGACTACTAACGACAAGGTCGGTGGTTGAAACTCACTGACCACTCCTTGGAAACTGTACAGCGTCACTAGTTGCTAGAACCAACTCAACTGCACTTAACAACATGGTTATAAAGTTGCTTATATTTTTTCTCGACAGTTTGGGCAGTTAGCACTTATAATTGTACCTGTGCTTCTGGTAAACATGGTCCAAACACTTCCAACAAAAGTGTGTCTTCTCTCACTGCTCTTTCAAAGTCTGCAAAAGATATCTTGCCATCATTGTCATAATCCTAGGGAGGAAGAGTATTTTCTGGTAAATGATTAAGTTGTTTTAAATTTTGCGTGGAAAGTATCTGCCTAGATGAAAAGGTTTTACCAAGAGAAACGATCACAGTTTTACATTCACTATGGAGCTTTGGTAGCATAGTTGTGAATCGGGCTACGAACCGCATGGTCTGCAGTTCGAAACTACCAGCTGTTCCATGAGAGAAAGATGAGGCTGCCAGCTCCCATAAAGATTTACAGCCTTGGAAACCCTGTACAGGGTTGCTATGAGTCAGAACTGACTCCATGGCACATGACAACAACAAATGGAGTCTGGTGTGGTGCTCTAGGATAAATACTGGACTGCAAAGTTGGTTTGAACCACAAGGTCAGTGGTTCAAACTCACCAGCCACTCCTTGAAAACCCCATTCAGGGTGGCTGTGAGTCAGAATCGACTCAATGACACTTAACAGTAATTTACATAAAAGGTTTATGGGGGCCACAATGTTTAGTCTTGTCTATAAAGGACTTATACTATAAAAAACTCATTTGCTAATTTTGTGGTTAGTAAGTGCATTAGAACGGCAACTTTTAAACTTCATTTCTAGTAGAAGAATTTGTTTATCTTTTACATGGGAGGTCACCATGTAACAAGGATAAAGTTACTGTAAGGCGCTTGGAGTAATAGAAGTAATTGTTCAGGATGGGCTACAGTCTTGAGAAGCAGACTTGCAGCCCACAGCTGGGCTGTTAAAGTTCGTTGGGATCTGGGGAGGTGGGAGAGATGTAGAAGGGTGGCCCAACTGGAGTTATGAGAGTAAACAGTAAGTAGCCTGACAGACCTGTGTGGAGTGTTAACACTCATGACAAGGATTATGGGAGATGCAAGTGTGCAAGGATGGGAGGAGGAGAGGGCAAATTCTGAATGCCTTTACCTGCTTAATTAAATTTGAATTGATGGGTTCTTGCTTTTTTTAACTTCCAGGCTTAATCACATCAGAGTTGCCAAGGGTCTAATCTAGAGAGGTGTGAATAATTATCAGAAAAAAGTACACTCTGTAACATTTCCTTTCGAACAATAAGGGATAAGTAGGTGTCCTGGGGAACACACTTGTCTTTCAGGAAGCGGGCCCTCAGCCCTAGAAACACCAGAGAGCATGAACTGCACTGGACATGGGGGCAGCAGCTCCAAAATCCTTCTTTTCTGCCCTGAACTCAGATGAGCTGGGCTTGGCTGCCCTCCACTCCAAATCTCACTGGGCTGCACGTTAGGATCATAACAAAAAAAGACAAAAATAACTGCATTGATAATAAGCATACTACAGTCTTTCTTTAAAAATGAATTATGTATCACATTTTCTAGTGTCACCTTGGATAGCACTGGGGTTACCAGTTGAGCTGCTAACCTTTAGGTCAGCAGTTCGAAACTACCAACTTATTCCATGGGAGAAAGATGAGGCTTTCTGCTCGCATAAACATTTACAGCCTCAGAAGCCCTGTACAGGGTCACTGAGTTGAAACTGACTCCATGGCACACCACCATCTGTACTTTAGTTTTCTCATCTGCAAATGGAGATAATAGTTTCAAGTTCATTTGGGGGTTCTGATGATAAAATGAGCTCATACATTAAAGCACTTTATCAAAACAGTGATTATCCTACATTGTTTTATTTTAATGAGTGTTTTGATGGATTGGAAGAGTAAAGTCATGACGACAGAACAGAATAGCATCTGATTTTACACAAACTGAATCTGACATGCCCTCAAATTAAGGTTTTACTGATAGTAAAATATTTTTAAATACTAAAATTTTTGTGTAATGAGTCAATCAGCCATTCAATAAACTGAGCACCCACTATGAACCAGGCATTGTTCTAAGCACTGGATAATTCACTATGTTGTAAAGTGACATCGAGTTGGTTCTGACTCATAGTGACCCTGTATAAGATTCCCAAGGAGCATCTGGTGGGTTTGAACTGATGACCTTGCAGTTAGCAGTCCCATGTGCCGAGGACCAGCCTCGAAAATTTGTGAGAGCTTGGAGGGGGGTACAGAGTCAGTGAAAAACACACACACACAGAGTCAATGGGTCGTGAGTCTTAGGCAGATGATGATGACTTCTCTTAAAAGTTTTTTGCTTCTTATATACTATTATGATCTCTCTATAGTCACGTACAATCAATTACAATTTAAGTGTTACATTCTTTGTGTTCAACAAACATTCAGGTTACAAAAAACACACAGAAACATCAGAACATTCCTTTGATTCTTCTCATATCCTGTTCCTTTGCATCCCCTAATTATCCCGATAACATCAGGTTTATTCCCGTAATTCTTTTTGTTTTTCTTTAATCCTCCTAAAAATGTCTAATTAACTTTTAAGCAAAGTTCTATATCTTGACTTGCATTTTCACTCTCATCTATTACTTTTTATAGCTTCATTAATCACAATCCGCAATCACAACAGTTATTTTTACCATGACTGTCGTACATGTTGGTTACTTATAATGGATTTAAGAATAAGAACATAAAAGTACCTAAAGTTTCATAGTCAAGAACAAAGCAGCAATTCCCCTATACTAATAATTTCCCAAAACCTCTAGTTAAATTTCTACCCACCTTCCTACATGTTCCCACAGCTCTTGATTGTCTCTTTGCTATCTTCTGGGTGCCTCGGTGTCTCTTGCCGAAACCAAGCAGGATGTTGATTACAAGATTGTTTTTTAGCTATCTTTCAGGTGCCTCAGTGTCTCTTGGCGAAACCAAGCAGGATGTAATCTTAAGCTTGAATTGACAAAGCTTTTAGCTGATGTGGCTTTTCCTAATGGTGAAACTCATTGTTGATGTAAAAAGCAACTATTATAACTTTACATGATTAAATTTAGTGTGAGAGTGTCTAAATGTAATTTTAATTTTTACTATGATTATAGCAAATTATCAAGTGAATATATAGAAAATTATTAAAGAACTTCTTATAATAAGATTAAAATTGAGCCATGCACAAAAGGAAAAAAACGAGAACTGCAAGGCCTCGGCATGAGGTTCCCCTCGGGGCTTTGCCATCCAAGAAGACAGTCATTGTCGCTTTGCTAAACAATGAGTTTTTCATGCTTAGGGTTTCTTGCCGTTCCGTTCCTTGATGGCATGGCTTCTGCCACCTATGCATATCCTACAGCACCACACCAATATTCTACATTCACTACAGAGGAAAGTAATTTCTTAATTTTCAGATTGCTACAATATCCATGTAATGATTATATTTATAATTTTTCATTCTTACCATTTTCTTCAATGTTATTTCTACCAATTCTTTTATTCCTTCATCAGTCTGTTCTTCAGGTAAGTACTGATGCAGACTGTTCCTCAGCATGTCAAATATTTCCTCTTCAGAAATGTAGCCATCACCATTCAAATAATAAACTTCAAAACAGACTTTTCAAAGAATAAAAGTTGTTTTAGGACTTTTATGAAAACAGTTGTCACTTGTCTTCTTGGTTATTGCAATATGTAACAAAGGATAAAAATTCATACAGCATATAATTATAGGCTTAATGTGCTATATGGCAGCATAATTTTAGAATATTGGTAAGTACTGTCAAGTTGGTTCCAACTCTTAGCAACCCTGCATAGGATTTCCAACGAGCAACTGGTAAATTTGAAGGGTCAACCTTGTTTAGCAGTCCAGAGCTTATCCTACAGCACCACAGAAGGATTCCATATATATGTATATGTATTTAGAAAGGGCCCATCACTCCTCGTGGCCTGCTTCTCTGCACAATCCAAATGACCAAATCAACTCTCCCTTGAAGTGACTTCCATTTCAATGTGTAACTTCTACCACAGTTCATTCAGTTATCCTACAGATGTGCTTTCTCAGCTCATGAGACTACAACAGTGAAGGGGCGCCTAGTGAAAGTGTGCAGTCTAGTGAAATGGTAGAATCAGGTAAACAGTGAAGGGGCGCCCATGAAGTGTGCAGTCTAGTGAAATGGTAGAATCAGGTAAACTCCAAGATTAGCTGTGTCTTTCTGTTGAGTTTCTCCAATCTATAACATAACATGAGTGTATAGTGCAAGCCAACTAGAAATATATTTTCCTAATTTTTAACTGTACTTGGAACATGGAAGTGGGACTAGATGACGAAAATGCGCTGGATTTGTGTGATGGTATTCAACCCAATACAGATGAACTCACTGTCACAAAGTGTTGGTATTACTGCAAAGAATTTACACCCAGGAAACAGCTTTAACTTCTTGATGTTGTTAAGTACCATTGAGTCGGTTCTGACATAGTGACCCTGCACAGAGTTTCCAAGGCTGTAAATCTTTATGGGAGCAAAAAGCTTCATCTTTCTCCCACAGAACAGCTGGTAGTTTTGAACTGCTGACCTTGAGGTTAGAAGCCCGATTTGTAACCACTACGCTACCAGAGCACCTTAACTTGTTAAGTGCTGTCGAGTCGATTCTGACCCATAGCAACCCTGTATAGGGTTTCCAAGGAGCAGCTAGTGAGCTTGAACCACTGACCTTGCAGTTCAAACGACTTTGCAGTCTGATGCATTAGCCCACAACGCCATACCTTAACTTCTTAGTGAGACTTTAATGTTGCTGTAGTTCTTTAAAATGTGCATTCAATTCAGAGATCTTCATTTACAAATGTTTAAAATCCAAATTCAAGTGAAAGCATATGAGATTAAAATGTGCATTACAGGTACAAGGAAATCTTACTTTCTTTGTAGTCTTTTCTTAATGCAATTTGACACCATCATAAGGCAATCGGTTCCCTTGAAAACTGCTACTTAAAACCATCTGTATTCTCTTACCAGGATTCTTCACCCAGAACCTGACTCTAGAGGTGTAAAGGATAGGGAGTATGCATCAGACCAATAGTACAGTGAGGTGAGCCCAAAGCTAAGCAAAATGGTGAATTAGGAGTTTTTTGTATTTGGAATTCCTTCCCTTCCCTTTGTGTAGGCAGTTTCATTTATAATCATTCTCCCTTTGAGCTCCCATTGTCCTCAACCTTGTTCCCTTTTCCTCTTCCCTCTCTTTTTAAATAAAACCCAAAGCTAACATTTGTTGTTGTTAGGTACCTGACTCAGTGCTAACACTATAGTGTATTAATGCCTTCCATTTTCTTTGATGAAAAGACAAGGAATGGCTCCTACACAAGTGCCCTTGTGTGGCTCTGTGGGTTAATGCGCTGAACTGCAAAGTTGGTTTGAACCTCAATGTTCAAGTTCACCAATTATATATTTATACATATAATTATACACACACACACACACACACACACTGTTCCTTTTCATCTTGTAACCTCAGCAGGTATTAAGCCCTATTTCCACTGAACCTAGCAGTATTTCTCAGAAACTTCAGCCTCTGGCACACAACCTGACAGCTAGTTGTTTTCAGACTAGGCCTATCCTGAGGACATTTATTTGCACATGACAGAACTAGTAAAGGAACTACTTGGGGATGCTGGGGCTGGGGACTGTACTGAGACTTTGCAATTGGGTCACTCATTTAATCTGCTTTTAACTTGTTGAAGTCCTGGTATGGTGTTGTAGGATAAGCATTGGACTGCTAACCACAAGGCAGGTGGTTCAAACCTACCAGCTGCTCCTCGGAAGCGCTGTCCAGGGTCACTAAGACAAAACCGACTTGACAGCACTAACGTGAAGACACTATTTTTGCGAGGTTCCTATAGAGGGCAATGGTTTCACAATTCTTTGCAGGTTAATGAGCTGGACTGCAAAGTCAGTTTGAACTGCAAGGTCGGCAGTTCAAGCTCACTAGTCACTCCTTGGAAATGCTATACAGGGTTGCTATGGGTCAGAAGTTCTGACTCGATGGCACTTAACAACAACAAATACAAAATAGACAATATATTATTATTAATCCAGTAACCACATAGAGAAATCTTACACTTCAGCTTTTCTTCAAAAGTCCCTCGAAGAAACACTGATAATCCTTTAACCCACTCGTTTACATTTATATGATTATCATTGTTTTTGTCGAACACAAAAAACACTGAAATAAAAAGAATGTGCATTATAATTTAGTGCTATTTTATAATTCCACAGTATGTATGTGTAGAAAGAAAAAATTTCTCTCAAATTGAAGGGTTTTGGCAGTCTTTCTGGGAAGTACCAAAATTATTGAAAATGATTTTGTTTTCCCCAGGATGTTAGAAAAAAAGAATCATTCTACTCCATTAACAATGCTGAACTTTGCTTGTCATCTTTCACACAGTAACTATGAGCCAAGAAGATCAACAGAGGAGTTCATCAATGTGATGGATAAGTTTATTGTGCAAAGACTGGAAAAAATTCTAGAGTTTGCACAATACCTAAATTATTAAAATAACTATTTTTAAAACCTCCAGTGGAATCTTAGTATTTATTTTCTAATAGTGAGTTAAAATATTTACTCTTTTTTAAAAACATGATGCGCAGGTTATTTATTTTGATTGAAGTCACAGCTCTCGGGTATATGCATTAAGACAGAATTTATTAACTATACTTTTATAATGTACAACTCTGTACACCTTCACTCAATTCATAACAAAAAATTTTAAAATTCATTATGAAGCCAACTAAATCATATTATCTTAAATCTTCTGAAATTTTTAATGTTATTAATTCTTGCACTAATATGCTTTTTATTTTATGAGAATGAAGTAATTTAGTCATTTACATCTGTGGTGTGTAAATTCAAGGATATAATTAAGAACTATATGCTTATTTTTAAAAAACATAATACTACTAGCTTATTTAGTTCACTATGGGCAAACTCTCTAAACTGTACATCTATGAGATAAGAAATTCTGAGGAAGTTTCTGTTAAGAACCATTTTCACATTCAAACCAAATACTACTTTATATTGGCAGTACTCTACGAACTATGCCTTCCTCATTTCACATGAAAACAAAACTTTGATGAAAATATTACCTACACAGGTAATATTTGGCCCACTTCAGTCTCACATGAGGTCTTACCCCTATCCATCAGTTTATCATCAGTCATTCCAAATATTTTGTGTAGGATCCCTTGAAATGCATGACGATCTAGCCCAATCTTAGCAAGTCTTCCATCAGTTCTCTTCACCAAGCTGTTAAAAAGTTTTATGAGACACTCTATTTCACTTTTTTGGACTGTAAAATGAAAAGACATAAATACACCTTATATTTAATTACTAAGCTTTCCAACCCAATCTAATGTTATTTTACTAAGCAGTTGTTTTGTTCTTATGCCAGATGCTGTCTGGTGATATAAACAGAATGGTATGAATTTGTTAGCATAAGCTGGGCCTCACCCAGAAATCCTGTAAAACCATATATAATTGATAACTATGGACTAGAAAGATTCCCACCATAACAACATGGAAAGAAATCGGTGTGAGAAACAGGAGTTGGGCCATATAGGCTTCCAACTGTGCCTTAAAGGACACGCAATACTTATAAAGGATTGTGTGGGGATGGTAAAGAAGTGGAAAATCCAGGGGAGAGAACACCGAGCAAAGGAAATAGATGGAATTGGGTGATGTTGAACATGTTTTATTGGGTGCACAAGGATACAGACATGAAAAACCAGTGGAAGAGGATAGGCTGATAGGAGTCTTACATGCCTGGTCACAGGACTAACAGCTCTATTGGAGCCGTACATCCCATGGTGTGACCACTGTCCCATGCTTGTCAAATATGCAGATTCCAGGTCCTGCCCAGTTTGATCTAGGTAGCTCACACCTCATTATACCCAACCATCAGTGTTTGAGAAATCATTGGTAATTGAAATAGCATTGGGGGTACTAGAGATGAGGTCATACAGTTTTAATTTTTAATTTCAAAGCAATTTTTGATTTACAGAAGAGATGCCACGATAGTACATAGCAGCGCCATGTGTTAATATCGTAGGTACATTGCACATTGGCAAAAACTTGTATAAACGTAACATTGGTACATTATAATGAACAAAACCATACAATTTATTCAGATGTCACCAGTTTTCTGACAAACGTCCAATCCAGAATCTCCTCCCATCTGTGATAGTTTTCAGTATTTTCAGGTTTTTCATGACCATGGCATTTGGAGAATACTGGTTCCTCCTCCATTTGGGGTTGCCTGGTTTTTTGCCAGGATTAGTCTAAGGTTTTGTGTTTGGGAGAATATCCTAGAAGTATTGTTCTCATTATATTATATCAGGGGATAGATAGCAACATGCCTTATCACTCTGATCACGTGGTAGTCTACCAGATTTCTCTAGAACACTTATTTTTTTCCTTTCCACAAGTTGCTCTTTAGAAGGGAATCACTTAAGAACATTCTGCTTCCTTGAAGGAAGGAAGCTATGTCCATTCTCCATTTATTTCATCGTTTATATTGGTACAAACTCATGGCCATTTATTGTATGTTGTGTTGTTGTTAAGTACCATCGAGTCGGTTCTGACCTATAGCAACCCTGAACAGGGTTTCCGAGGCTGTAAATCTTTACAGGAGCAGAAAGTCTCATCTTTCTCCCGCAGAGCAGCTGGTAATTTTGAACTGCTGACCTTCAGGTTCGCAGCCCAATTCGTAACCACAACACTACCAGAGCTCCTTATACAACAGGCTATATTCCAACTCTGTGGTATTTTCAGGTTGGCTCCTGCGTGTCTCTAATATACTTTCGTCTTTTTTGCACAATTCTTTACTTTATGGCACTATATGATGTTTCAGAGCCTTCTATTTTTTTTCCCCTACTCAGCTATTTCTCCAAGGAGCCTCTGGCTCTTTCTTACTGTAGAGAATGGTGTTTAAAAACCAAGGTCTGGGAGCTAGTATGTTTGATGCCACTTGCTTGCAGGCCCTCTCAGAAGTATGAAATGTACATGCATATTTCTAAATGCTGTAGAATAAATTCCGACTCACAATGACCCTTTATAGTTTTCAGGAAGCAGCTGGTAGGTTTGAACCGCAGACCTTATTCTATAGTGCCAAACCAGGAGTCCATATGCATGTATACTGACCCATTCATACACACATTAATAGCCCATGGTATTATGTCTCATAAAAAAATTGAATGACAAATACTGGACCAGTGAACTCAGCAGTGGTACTGGGTTGTCAGGAGAGATTAAAAACTCACGAACCCTCAAGGAAAAGGGGCTCAGGAATTCACATACATAAATCATACTAGGTTTAACTTACTTCTTTATGCTGGGGATAAGTGCTGCCAAGTCAATTCCCACTCTTAACGCCCCTGTACAGGGCTTCTAAGGAACAGCTGGTGGGTTTGAACTGCCAACTTTGTGGTTACCAGTCTAGTATCTTACAGTATCACACCAGGAGTCCTCTATCTGGTAGGAGTGGATTTAAGTATTTGGAGCTTTAACAAGGCCATCTGTCGCTATCTCGACAGTCTTAGACAAAACATAAAAATATGGACTGGAAAATCATCTAGAGACTCGGCTGTTTACGCTCTTTTATTCAAGGTGCTGCATAATGTTCACATCTACTCAATTTCTACCAGGGCCTAGCATAACAGTTGTTGCTGTTAGGTGCCATCGAGTCAGCACTGACTCATAGCGACCGTGTGCACACCAGACCGAAACACTGCCCGATCCTGGGCCAACCTCACTACTTTTGCCACGCTTGAGTCCATCGATGCTGCTACCTCACAATAAAAGTTCGTTGAATACACATAATGATAAAACTTGCATATTAGGATAAATGTCAAGCTTAGAGTACATGGTGTTAAAGAAGTTAAGGTAAGATCTGGACGAGAATCAGGATCCAAAATCATTTGTAGACACCAAAATCATCAGTTGAGTCAAAGAACATAAAATTTGTAAGAAATGGTTTTCAAATTCTGCACCTACCTTTAAAAAAACTGTCATTAACTGATGTATGTGTAATATAGGCTCAGTGACAGCAGATGTGCCATGGATTGAACAGGTTGGTTGGCCCATGATGCTCGGTGGTTTGGCAGCTATGTGATGCTTCTCCATGATGTGATAAATCAGTAAGGCAATGGTGATCTGATGAAAAGGAGTTTCTCTGGGATATGGTATGCAACACCTTTTATCTTACGACAAAAGGCAAGAGAAGTGAGCAGAGGAGAGGGACCTAGGACCACCAAGCAAGGGTCCCTGCACCATGAAGCTCCTAGAACGATCTCAAGACACACAGAGAACTCTGCGTCTGGACTTTGAGAGAATGGATTATCTGGTTGTTAAAGCCTCATTAGAGACAGAAACAATGCAGAAAAGACTATTCCCAGCTCAGTATCATGCAAGCTGGGATTGATTGCTTCACCTGCAAACCACAACGTAGGTCAGGAGTCCTCAAACTTTGTGCACTTAAAAATAGCTGTAGTAAAAAATTTGGACCATTGGCCTTAATCCCAGAGATTTTTTAAGTCTAAGGCAGTACCTAGGAATCTTTCTTTTCAACAAACTTATAGATGACTCTGAAGGTGATGATTCTTTGGAGATGCGGTACATAGCCACGACTGGTTACATAATTTGTGTTGCCCAATTCAAAATTAAAATATAGGTCCCTTCAAAAGAGTATTAAAGTTGGTGACACCAAAACATTAAACCAAACATGGGGTCCTGTGAAAGAGCGGGTTTTACCCCTGGAGCCCACCACACATACAACTATCTTCAGTTTTCTTCCACATGGCTGCCCAAGTGGTTATTCTAAAGTATAATATAAACTGATTTTGTCAACATCTCCATCGTCTACAAGAAGGAAATACAAGGCCTTCTGCTAGCTGGTCTCTGCCTCTCAAATCTCTGTCCATCCCCTACATTCTGACAATACCAAACTAGCAGTCTCATAAAATCCACCTTGTTTTGTAACTTTACATACACTGTTCCTCCAACAATTCATTTCCCCACACCATGTGAGACACCGTCTCCTGTGAAATGCTTCTCCTCAGGTCCAGAGCCCTCCCCTCCTCCTGAGCCTGTACTACTTTCAAAGCTGCATTTCTTACCTCATCAGTGCATCCACGCACAGCCGCGACCAGTCTGTCAGTAGAGGCGTATGTGCAGCTAAGAAGCTGAATCCTGACTACGGCAGATAGGAACAAGGGCCTAGCAATTCACTCCCCAAGTTCGGATCCCAAGAGTCTGATCCAAGACTGATCACAGGGATGGTGAAGGACCGGTCAGCATCTCATTCTACTGTGCCTGGGGACGCCATGGCAAGGCCCGACTGCATGGCAGCTAACATCTGGGAAAAGGGTTTGGAGTATTGTGCATAACTCTACAATAGCATTGTCCAGTAGAACTTTCTGAGATGATGGAAATGTTCCATTCCAGCTCTCATTTGGTCGCGCCTGAAATGTGGCTAGTGATTATACTTAATCTTAATTAGCCATGCTTCTGATCAAGTGTTATATACTTACATGCTTTCAAGACGTACATAATGAAATCAAACATATTTAGGGCTAGCAGGTATTACTCATTCAGTAGGATGGGAAGAGGAGTTGACTTTAAAAAGTATGCAAAATTCCTTCTACATGTTACAAAAGCCAGCAAATGCTGTTAAAAAAGCAGCAAATGACAGCAAATATTACATTCAGCATGGCCTAAATCTAAAGGACTGTTCTGAACAGTTAATGGATGTATGATAGCAGGATAAGAATATACACCCTAGAAGTATTAGAGAAGCTGAGATAATTAAAAAACCTGTTGGAATAAGAAGAAATGGAATATGTCTATGAGGTTCCTGTGACCCAGAAAATTGAAAGTGCCCACCAAAGAGGGAGTCCTGGTGTGGTGCTGCAGGATATGCATTGGACTGGTAACCGCAAGGTTGGCAGTTCAAACCTACCAGCTATTCCTTGGAAATCTTAGACAGGGTCGCTATGAGTCAGCAGCAACCTGACCCTTAATAACAAGAGAACTTACTAAACATAAGGTTCCTAAACCACTAAAAACATATTCTTTGAAAACTGTCGGATTGCTTGTAGACATGTTTGAAAAACAAAATTTGCAGGGTAACTTTTAAAGGCTTGTTAAATTTGATTAGCTTCAATAAACATTAATCACATGACATGTGCAGAGCCCCATGCTGTATCGCGATCTACGGTATCTTCTATCAACTCCTGACATACAGTAAACATGAGCCAGTGTGGGTTACGTGGGACAATATCTGGGGAGGGCCAGAGAACTAGGGGGACAGGTCAAAGCAAACCTTTATATTTTATTAAAAATTCTATTTTATACTAACAACTAAATCAGTTCTTGGCTGACTGATAATCCTTTAGCATTTAAGATGTCCTGAAAATCGCTGCTAGGGTTCTCACACACCCAAATACGTAGAGGCTTCCAAAAGTTTGTTAACAAATTGAAGTTTTCCAAAAACTTTTGGAAGCTCCTCTTATATTTTTACATATTTTCCATGTAAGGGTAGGCATAATTATATATTTGCTTATCTACTTTTTAATAAAAAAAGTAGATCTGATAGTGGCCAAACGATCAGATAGGAAGTAGAGAGACTGTTGTAGGGTTGGAAACCGTCTACTTATATTTAAGTTTGATTGAATAAATATGTTCACGGAGTGCTGCAAGTCTGGTCAGTACTCACAACTCTTGACACTTTTACTTATGGATTCTACCAGTTTCTTCAGAGCCCTCTGGTCCATGTTGCACGTGACTCACACTCCCGACTTCCCAGACAGCCTAGCTCCACGCCTGAGCGCTCTGGGTTGCCAGTGATTCCAGAGCTCACTACTTCCTACCTAACATAGAATGTTACCATGGCGACTTCCCAGCAACCAGCCGTGGAAGATGTCTGAAAAAATCACTGAAAAATAAACAATAATTGTTGCGACCACACAGAAAAATGCAGTAATTTCATTAACGTTATTGTTATTGACAATCACAGCAATTCCAACATTTATCTTCTTTGGGACTAAACACTGCCTAGAGCCTTGGTGTGGCACTGCAAAGTCAGCAGTTCAAACCCACCAGCCCCTCTCGGAAACACTACACAGGATCACTAAGAGTTGGAACTGATTTGATGGCACAAAACAACAACAAACATACCTGAGGAGCCCTAGAGGTGCAACGGTTAAATCCTTGGTTGCTAAGTGACTGGTTAATGGTTCAAAGCCATCAGATGCTCTGCAGTAGAAAATGTGGCAGCTGGCTTTTGTAAAAATTACAACCTTGGAAGTTCTGTGGGGGGACATTTTTACTCTGTCCTACGGGGGCACTATGAGTCGGAATTGACTTGATGGCAACAGGTTTTTGTGATTCTAAAATTGTTGTTAAAGTTATTCAAGAAAAAGTATGGCTTGGTGGGGGAGGAAGTAAGAGCTGTTACTAACTTGCTTGTAATAACTTTAGACTGAACATAAGTGATATGAGCCTGTCAAATTTCCTTTCTGTACCCCACTGGAAGACTGCTATGGACACAGTCAGAGGAGATGGGATTTTACAGACAGTCAACACGGTCTAAAAAGAATGAAAAGTTTTGCCAGGTTGCTTGCTTCACCAGTCTAACGCAATGACTGTTGCTTCTAGTAGGATATAATCACCACAGAACCACCAGTTTGCAAGCCTTCACTTTGAGGTGCAGAGTGAAACCAGTCAACAAATAACCTGATCAACTTAACTCATCTTTTTAATGAAAAACAGTTCTGGGAAACCTTCTTTGGATACAAAACGTCCCTCAAATTTCTTAAGTACTCAAGAACATATAGATAATATTCTATTAGGAAATAGAAAATATATGAAGTTCTAAGCATAAAATCTTAAGAACCTTACTAAGCATTATGTTACTTTCACTGTGAAAAGTCAGGGACTTGACTTATGAGTATTAAACACCTAGTGTAGCGTTTATCATCTTTATGGCTTTACTTTTCACCGCAAAGGGAGCTGATATAAGAACAAAGCTATTTTTAAGTAAAATAGCTATTTATTCAGCCTCTTGTCATGCATGCCAAAATCTTTTGTGCATATATCATTATAATTACCACACCCTCTATAACAGGCATAATTTTACATCAAATTATATTTCATGTTATTTGATTATATAAAAATGTAAAGTGAAAATGATTTATCAGTTCCTATTAACATTACTAGTAAACAATTCAGGAAGAGATATGAGGCACAAACTCTTAGTAAAATATGACACAGGAAGAGCAATAATGTTGTTGTTTAACTTGTCATAATGTTATTAATATACAAAGACAACAAACTTGTCAAACACCCTCTTTACTAAGTTTCTGGCAATAGCTTTATGTAACAAGATACAGCATACCAGGCCTGCCACTCAACTTGAATATGGTAAATCTCAGCTTCAATATGAAGCTGTGAAAAGATAAGCAACAAAACATCAAAAACCTGCTTTTTACATGCTAAATTTCTCAGCAAGTATGCCATTAAATACAGAAATGAACATAACATAGCAAGAATAAGAAGTTACAAAAGCTAAACTTGCAGCCTAAACAAAATCCATAGAAAAATAAAATAACTATCACTGGTTACATAACTGGTGAAAATTTAACAGTATAAAACATGCATTTTAGAATTTTTTAACTAACAAGTTCAAAAAGTACCAGTGTCTATTTGAAATGATTACTCTTCAAGGTCAAAGTGTAGTCAAAATTAATTCAAATGACATAGCACAATCTAATGCTAACAATACTCCGTATTATTGAAGTGGAGGTAAACTTCCGAGCTTTGGGGGCTTTCTAAACTGCAAAGGGCTGTTTCTCGGGTTCCCTCAAAGCAGCACCCACAGAGGCCCAGGATACCACTCAGCTCAGTAAAGGGCTAGACTTCTTGTGCCCCGCTCTGACCTCCCCAGGAAGCATGGCTGCTGCACCCACAAAAATAGGATGTGTGAGGGTCAAAGGCACGCTGTTCCACTAGCTAAAGAGATAGCAAACCACCCTCCCGCTCCCTAAAGCTCCTTCCCCTGGTAAATAAAAGTATACGAGGGAAAAAATAAAATTCATTTAGCTACAGAGCAAGGATTTTGATATATCAGTGTAATCCCTAGTTCCAAATGTTAGCTAGAGTCATGTGGAGATTTCTGAGCACATCTTGAAGACGTGTCCAGTTTCAATTTCTGTTACTTATAATTAGATACTTCTAGTTAAGAATACTCACTTTATCCCCAAGTATCTGAACCACTAGTATGACTGCAGTGCGCTGTCTCCCAGAGCTATTAAGCGCTGGAAGAGAAAAAAAGATGTTTAAGCAGCAGGCAACGAATCTGGCCCTTTCACACAGCGGCATCTGAGTGGCTACTGAAAGTCCAGGAATAATTTTAAAAACAAGAAAACTCATGCATCTCAGTAAATATGTCCTATTTCTCACAGTTGAAATTTCTTTAGACATTGCACTTTCTTTTTAAGGGAATCCTGACTTTTGCTGCCATTATGGCGAGTCAGGACTGGAACCAGCAGCCTTCTTCTTCTTCTTCTTAGTGTGCTTCTTATGCTTCTTTCTCTTCTTTGCTTTCTCCTGTAAAGACAAGTTACATGTTAGACATTACTGTATGAAAACATGCAAATTAAAACTCTTCCTTAGTATATAAGCTATGAAACAGCATGTCCTGTAAATATCTCAAAGTCTCAACAACCAATGTTGTATGATGCTAAGACAGTTCTTGCTGATTTTCAACAAGGTAGGAAACTCTTCATTATTCACATACTAATGTCATTTCCAGCAAAGGTTCCTGTAGAAAATAAGTTCTACTGGACCATGCTATGAATCACTATACGCCATGCTATATTTAAATCACAGTTACTGCATACAGGTCATTACGTTATAATATAGAAATGTTTTTGTAAAACGACATTTTCCAGAGAAGACAAATGTTATTATCTGTTATTGTGTTCAACAGTTAGAATGCAGCTATTGTATTCTGCGTGTCCTTTGTTACTGTTCTTTTATCTGCTGTTACATGAATTCTGATTCAGGGTGATCCCCTGTGCATGCCAGAGCAGGACTGTGCTCTACTGGGCACTCAATGGCGGACTTCATACAAGTAGAATGATAGGTTTTGCTTCTAAGGCAAATCTCTAACCTTTCAGTTACCAGCCAGTTAGTGCATTAACAAGTCGCACCACCCAGGCACTCCCTTAACTACTTTGTTGTTGTTGTTAAGTGCTGTTGAGTCGGTACTGACTCATAGTGACCGTGTATAGGGTTTCTGAGGAACGGTTGGTGAGTTTGAAATGCCAACTGTGCAGTTCAAAGCGACCTTGCAGTCTCCAGTGCATTAACCCATACTGCCACACCAGGACTCCTTAACTACTTTGTGCTGTTGTTGTTAAGTGCTGTAAAGTCGATTCCGACCCATAGTGACCTTGTACAGGGTTTCCAAGGAGCAGCTGATGAGCCTGAACCACCAACATTGCAGTTCAAACAGCTTTGCAGTCTGGCGCATTAACCCACAGTGCCACACCAGGACTCCTACTTTAGACATACTAAATTAACACCAACTAATTAGTGTTCTAGTGAGCTCTGGTAGCGTAGTGGTTACGAATCGGGCTGCGAGCCGCAAGGTCAGCAGTTCGAAACTACCGGCCGTTCCACGGGAGAAAGATGAGGCTTTCTACTCCCGTAAAGATTTACACCCTCAGAAACCCTGTACAGGGTCGCTATGGGTCGGAACCGACTCAACGGCACTTAACAACAATTAGTGTTCTGGTGTGGAGCAGTAGGGTAAGCCCTGGACCGCAAGATCAGTTTGAACAAGGTTGGTGGTACAACTTCACCAGCAGCTCCTTGGAAACCCTATACAGGGTCACTCTGAGTTGGAACTGAGTTGATAGCACTTACCAACAATTAGTGTAAGAGATAGAAAATGAGGTTGTCTGCTCCTATCAAGTTTTACAGTTAGTAGCCCAGCTCTACAGTGTCACAATGAGCTGACATCAATTTCATGGTTGGTGGCCGTGTGAATGTATAAGATTTAACCCAAGGCTGTAAATCTTGGTGGGCACAGAAAGCTTCACCTTTCTCCTGCGTAGGACTTGATAACATTCGAACTGCTTAGCTTGCAGTTAGTAGCCCAACTCTAATCCTCTAACTTACCAGGAATCCTCTGACAGTGAGTTGCTGTTGTTAAATGCTGTCAAGTCGGTTCTGACTCATAGCAACCCTGTATAGTGTTCCCAATGAGCAGCCGGTGGGTTTGAACTGCCGACCTTGAGGTTCACAGTCCAGTGCTGACCCTACAGTCCCACACCAGGAGTCCTTGACAGTTGGTAATTAGTATAAACCGATGCTTTGTTTTTAGAGAAAGATGTCACTGAAGCCTAATGAAAAGGGCCAAGTTCTCATTGGATAAAAAGGAGCTGGAGTGTTACTGAACCTGAGTCTTTGGACTATTGCTGTTGCAGAAGAGAAGGAAGAACTGTATACACAGATAGACTTGGGACAGGTGGTGGTACTCAGGAGAAGCAAATGAAAAGCAAGAAAGGAAGTGGGACGTATTAGGGGAGAAAAAGCAGAAACTTCCATCCATCTCTTCATCTACTAGCACAACCCACAACTTCCTTTCCCTCTTTCACTTAAAATCCTCAAAATGGCTACTTCTGAATACAACCCAAACACAGGTGATAAGGTCTCTACTTACTTCAAACTCATCTTGTGCGAATCCTCTTTACCTACTAAACCACTT